ATGGAAGGGCTCCCAAAGAACAAACTCCACAGGCTCGTTGGGATACAACTGCTGCGCAAATAGATTTGCCGCTGCTGTGCCGGAATGCCTTGCAGAAGGGCCTCCACGGGCCACGGCGCCGTCTCCAGACACCATGCACAGCATGCGAGCCCGCAGGGCGGCACACGTCATTTTTGCAGCATGCTGCTCAAGTGCTTTCAGAACCTCCCGTGCTTGGGTCTGGCCATCGTGGGAAAGCCCCGCTGAAGGAGAGGCCATGAAATGCGCCTCCAGATGACCAGAGCGCCTGACAAACAAATGACATACTCACCGGATTGTTCTAATGGTGGGTACGGAGAGGCAACATCTTTCTAAGATAATTCTGGGCCTGCTCAGCGCATACAACACGATGATCTGGAAGGACTCCTTCCGTGCGAATAAGGAGTTCCCCACAGTCACTCCATCGAAACCTTGGGCACTGGACAGACTGCGTGAGAAACATCAGGAGCTCTTCCACTTGAAGCCAACTATTTAGCCAAACAAGCAACCAACTAACAAGAATACCGCTGCTTAGGACGAGGAGCAGATGGATACTGGACTTTGAACGCCCAACCCTTCAAGCTTGGAAGTCAAGCTCTCGGATTGCACAAATTCAAGAAGTTTCCCAGCACTAAACTCCACAAGCCTGACGAAGGCCCTGCTGGAGTACTTCTGTCCTACATTGACTCCATGGAGTCGCAGTCTACAGAGGTCTTGTATGTAATCGTCATCGGCACGGCCACGGGCAACATTGTGGAGAGCCTCTCTTACCTCGAGTCTCCAGTCAAATCACTAAAAACCGTCAAGTCACAAGTGGCTTGTTGAGCACAGACATGCCAACAGAACCAAGGTACCAAAGTTCGCAAGATATCATCAGGATTCTGCTGCTCATCCTTCAGATCCGCGCAGTCCATATCTTGATCTACTGCCTGAGAGCTCGTGGGAGCCCAACCATTCGTCTTCCTTACAAGAACTAGCATAGTTGCGAAGCAGCTATATTGGAGGCAACTTCAACAGTTCAACAAGAACGCCATTAATCAATATCATATCTCTTCAAGCAAGACAAGGAATCTGCTGATGGCTTCAAAGCATCATCTTGTTCACCACCATTTTAACCGTGTTACCACTGATCCTGAGCAGATGGGCCGCCGCACGTGCGGAGGCCGGGCGGACATCCTTGTATAGATCGCCGAGTTCAGCGCACACTCTCGAAAGCAGTGATCGCGGAAGCTTCGAGAGATTGAGAAAGGTGTTGGCAACGACCACCTGCGTCTGGTCCACCATGCCTGCCGCTGATGCGATAGACACAGGCCCACAATCCCAACACCATTCATGTTGCACAATGGAAGCAGCATGGAACCTACATCCCAGGACGCATACTGGCTGGCAACCAGACTGCCCTTGGCCTTGGCCTGATAAGAAAGCCATGAAGGAAGAATAATGAACTTGTACTTTACATTGCGCACACAAGGAGAGATCTCATGGTGGGGCAGGTTTCCTTCCATGATATTCCACGAAACTGTAACTCATATGATCAAGAACGGGATCTACCCAGGTGCACTACTACATCTGCTGGACACAGACCTTTTACTAGGCCGCAGCAATGGCCAGCTTACATCGTTGTAAGAATCAGATCGCTATCATAAGCTTTCTCTGGCGTCAACCATCCACAGGGCTATCGAAAAGTTGATTCCTATAATATGAACCTGACAGGTGGATTTGTTGCAGGCAAGGTTTCCCCATATGGACTAGTCTTGCCAATTGGGCCTTGGATGGGTAACTTAGCAATAGGTTGGTTCTAAGTCAGTTTTGTTGCTACCAGCGAATGGCATGTGGATCTAGAGCGCTTCCATGCCTTGCGTGCGCTGCCACAATTGCTTCCTAGCAGATCCCAGGGGCATGAAGATTTGCAAGGAGCCGGTACTTTTGTTTTGTGGCAACAACAGCAATTGAAATAAGAGGCCCGCAGAAAGGGAGCCACTCGGATAAACTTAACTGTGTTTATAAGAGCCAGTGTGGGTCTAGTAGCAGATGCTCTGTTAACAGAAATCAATGTTAGATAATACCCCTGCAAAATATGATCCCATCTGCAGCACACCTTTAATCATTGTTGGACCAGTGACCAGGCGCGACATATTCATGTACGTAAGTGCAAACGACCCTCCTCCTCCCACCACAACTATCCTAGCACAGGCCGGGCCAGCCTCTGGCACGAGAAATAAATGCACCGACGTCTACTCCAGGCTGCCATGCTCCCTCTTCCCGCCGCTGGGATATGTCCATGTCGAAAGAGATGAAGCCATCATGAACTGCTAAGCTGTCACTGTCTACTTCATCTTCCAACTGAATTTGTACAGGCTCCACGGGCTGCTCCAAGTCACCTTCGCATCCTGGATCACCCAAAACCAAATCTGTCTCATAGAAGACTTCGTCCGATATTTCGATACCAATGATTCCTCTGAGGCTCTGAGGCGGCGGCCCAAAAACAAGGGGTTGACTTAACTTAGGAGAGGGTTTAGTTGGAGATTAATACACATATTAAGCCACCAACTCAGATGGAGTATCCGCTAGCATACGCTCAAATTGTAACAGTACTGCAACGCTACAACCCAATTCTGCTGAATTCGCTAGCTCGGTCTGGATGAACCCCAGCTAAGACCAATTTTGGCAAAACTGCTTTTGTGGGAGGTTACATCCCTGGACACATGATTTATGAGCAGAAAGCTTTATGTATATAGCTAAAATGTAAGGAGACTTTGCTCTTCCCATGGGCTGCCTGGCGCTGAACCCCAGCTAAGACCAATTTGGCCAAAACTGGTGTTAGCTGGGGTTCAGCCAGTTGAGGGCTAGGATTCAGCAGAAGACAGTGAAAAGCAACACCCCTTGTCCTGCTGTCTCTTCAAAAGCCACATCGCTGCTGTGGCCATGACAACGGTTGGCCGCCATGCTTCAGACAACGAACTGTGCTGGAAGCCTTTTGATTGTAATCTGAGATTAGTCAGCAAAGCTATTATGAATCAATTTTCCTCTGAGTGAGTCTGGCACACAAGTGTGCTGCACTATTCATGTCCCTAATTAATCCTTCAGCAGCCAAATACTCTCAACTCAACAAACATGCTGCAAGATGTGGCAACTGCTCAGTGACTCAACGCCATTCCAGCTCATGCGGAGCAAAACAATCGGTGAGAACATCTCCCGGTGCGACCTGGCCTTCTTTCGTCAACCGGCTGGCAGGAGAGCCAATGTCAAGGTCACCTGGCAGAGAATTATCTTCGCAGGACTGCGCAGGCAAGCAAGTCTGACAGCATCAGCATCCGAAGCAACGCAGAGCAATCTTGTTTTCAAGCAGAAAGGCCACGGACGATACGGAAAAAATGGCGTAGGGCCATTGATGTTGCAGCTTTTTCGGAGCTGCTCTTGCATGCATGCTCGTATTGTTCTTGCGGCTAATGACCAGTGAGCCCTAGAGCTGGAATGATGAACATGCTGCCAAGGATTGCCTTTAAATGTGGCAAGGAGAAAATAAAGTTCTCAAAGGAACTGCCTCTCAGTCTCAGGCTATCTATTTCTCCTTCGGAGATGCCATGCCCTTGCGCTTCTTGTTGATCCTTTGTCGCAATGCCTCCACAGACTGCTCATAGGAATCCCGATGTGCCCTGGCACTCGCGAGCGCCTCCTCGCAATCTTGGACCTTGCAAAATAGAAGACTGTGCCTATGCGAACCTGCCGAACCTCACTCTGTTGAAGTATTTTTCTTCTATGCAGGCACGCAGCTGCCATTTCCCACTCGGCCAATTTCCGGGCATCAAAATCAAAGGCCTGCTCATCCTCCTTCATTGCCATGGTCTGCTCCTCGACCACTTCCACGTGGACCTTCCCAAAGAGCAACTTTGTGTCCAGACCATGGGTCGTGATGAGCTCGTCTGCCGAAGAAGTCTCGGAGTAGTTGAACTCCATGAGGGGACTGGCCGCCTTGCTGCAGCGCTTAAGTGTGATGTGCTTCTCGGAGCCGACCCGGATGACCCCAAACCTTGGCTGAGAATGAACAATAGCATATGAACAAAAAAACAACACTCTGATTCAACTCATTTCTTGCCTATAACTATGCAGCCCAGGGGCGTATCAGACTGGCCGCACGAGGTCACCCAAGCCAAGAAGACCAGAGAGTTGGGGTCACTGTAGAAGATCTCCTTGACCTCTGACTTCTTTATGCAGTTCCTGAGCAAGACTTCCCGAGTCTTGTCTTTCGTTGTCGGATCCTTGAAGAGGTAATATTGCAATCTGAACTTCCGGGGCATCTTCTCCAGCTGCTGATACGATGGCCCCTGCTGCATGTCTTTCTCTACGAGAGAGCTGTCTTCGGTCGATGCAGGGACTTGTTCAGGACGTGGATCAGATGAACCAGGAAGTGGAACATTCCCCTCGGAGGAGCCAGGACGTGAACCGGGTGAATCAGAAAGCGGAGCATTCGCCATGGAGGAGCCAGCGAAACCGGATTCGCTGGCCTCTCCTGATTCTGCCCAGAGTACGGAGAGATTGACCTTCAGATACCAGAGCGTCATTCCATGGGCCTGCGGGCGCATCTTCATCTCATGAAACCAATCACTCTTCACGGTGAAC